CGCGCTCCCTCCCCCCCCGCCGCCCGCCTCCCGGTCGCCCCACCCCGTGACCAGCTCCCCGTCTTGTCCCGCAGGACCCGCCCGGACGGGACCACGCCGCAGCCGCCGCCGGGAGCCGCGCTTCGGGTCCCGCCTGAGCCGAGCCGCGCGCGGGGCCGCCGCCGCCGCCGCCGCCGGCGGGGGATGGGGCTGCCCGGGAGGCGCGCCGAGCCCGCGGGGGGAGCGCGGAGCCGGCGCGCAGCCTGAGTCCCGGCCGCCCGCGCCGGGCTGGTCCGTGCGCACCGCGCGCCGCCGCCGCCGCCCCACGCGCCCCGATGGCGCCATCGCCCCGGCGCCGCTGACCGCCCCGCGCCGCCAGCCCGGCCCGCGCGGCCCCCTCGGAGCCCAGCCGGCACGGGGAGCGGCCTGCCGCGGAAGCCTCCCCGCGCCCTCCCGCCCGGCCCCGCCATGGCGCTGCGGCGCCTCCTGCTGCTGCTGCTGCCACTGCTCTCGCTCCAGCCCCTGGACCTGCTGCCTGGCGCCTGGGGCGCCCGCGGCCGCGCCGCCAACCGGACCCTGAGCGCCGGCGCCGCGGCCGTCGGGGGCCGGCGGCTCGGGGGCGCCCTGGCCCGGGGCGGCCGCGAGCTGAACGGCACCGTCCGGGCGCCCGGTGGCCCGGAGGCGGGGGACTAGGACTAGGATCCGGACTGGGCAACATGACACCATCTCCTTTTTCTCACAATCCTAGGTCCCGGCTTGGTTATCACATCCCCCTCAGGCTCCCTCGTGACCACAGCCTCGTCAGCTCAGACCTTCCCCATTTCGGCTCCCATGATTGTCTCAGCTCTTCCCCCTGGCTCACAAGCCCTGCAGGTGGTCCCTGACCTCTCTAAGAAGGTAGCATCGACCCTAACAGAGGAAGGAGGCGGCGGCGGCGGCGGCGGTGGCGGCGGCGGCCAGCGCGCCCGTCACCTACGAGACGTGCTGGGGCTACTACGACGTGAGCGGCCAGTACGACAAGGAGTTCGAGTGCAACAACAGCGAGAGCGGCTACCTGTACTGCTGCGGCACCTGCTACTACCGCTTCTGCTGCAAGAAGCGCCACGAGAAGCTGGACCAGCGCCAGTGCACCAACTACCAGAGTCCGGTGTGGGTGCAGACGCCCAGCACCAAGGTGGTGTCGCCGGGGCCCGAGAACAAGTACGACCCGGAGAAGGACAAGACCAACTTCACCGTCTACATCACCTGCGGGGTGATCGCCTTCGTCATCGTGGCCGGCGTCTTCGCCAAGGTCTCGTACGACAAGGCCCACCGCCCTCCTCGGGAGATGAACATCCACAGGTGAGCGCGGCCGCCCGGGGCCTGCCCCCAGACTCTCGGCGGCCTCACCCCTCTTTCCAGGCTTCCCTGTCCTCTTGGCATCCCCCCCTCTCCCCGGGTCTCTCTGTCTCTGTCTCTCTCTCGACTCTTTAAAGTCAGCTGAGCACCCCTTGCCTCTTTGACAGGCAATAAATCGGAGCCTTCTGTTGCCTCTAATCCATTTCCTCAGAACCGGGAACGCATGCTTTGGTTGGTAGGGGGATTTACAGGGCAAAGTAGGGAGTGGTGGAGTCCGTGAGTTTGAGTCTAAGAATTGTACACATTCTGTAAGCCTGGGTAGGGGTCCAGGATGCAGTTTTCAAGGCAGGTGGGCGCCTCGGTGCAGGCTCTTACTGCACTCGGTTTTCTCAGTCAAACCAGAGCATCATCTTGGGTGTAGGAGATTGAACGATGTTGGAACCTTACTGAAAAGAGTGTGAACTGGGGGTTCCCGTGTGTTGGAGATGCGGGTGATACGGAAAAGAAGCCTCCTGGGGTGAGAAGGAATGCAGATCTAACCGTTCCATCTTGACCAAGGGCATATGGTGTCTATTCATTGCATCCTGCCGAGTGGGATGCTTCGCTTTCCCGCTGAGACTGGAGGACTTGTTCTTTTAAACCCTGTGGGCAGAGCTCTCTGAGTTAACACTTCTTGCTGTGTTCAACCCGGTGGGCATCTTTCACTGTTTCCATAGGGAGGCAGTGGGAGCTGCCTCCCACCGAAACTTATGCCAAGAGCTTGAAATATGGTTGTGCAGGGCTCCACCCTGACTGCCTCCCTCCCACCCCGCCCTCTAGCTCCCTGAGCGCCCCTTGGGAACGGGAAACCAGCGTCTCTTTACAACTCTGTTAATGATGCGCCCAGTGGGTGCAAACTCAGCTCTGCTTCCAGTCCCCTCGTGCTGATGAATGGCTGGACGTGGTTCAACAGTCTTTCAAGGAACAAACCCTGCCCCGGGGCATGCCTCCATCCCTGGCACATGGTGTGGGCACTGCCCTAGTAATCGGGACCACCCCACACCACCCAGACCAGTTTCTTTGAGTTTGCCCGGCAGGCCCGCACCCAGAGCCCTGCAGCTTTAGCTCATCTCCGCACTCTGCCTTTTATCCTTTCGACCTGAAAACCTTCCCCCGCTGCTGTGGACATTAGTCACCTGTACCTTGTTGAAGAGAGAGAAAGGCAGATAGAAATTTCTGGGCGTGATTTCTTTCCCCCTTGGATACTGTGGGTGTTGAGAAAAGATGATACTCTCTGGCGGATTTTGAGTCAAATCCACAAAGTGTGGGTACTCTCATGTTGACAAACTCGGGTGTTGGGGTTGGGTGCTTCTAAGAGGAGATGCGTTTATCAGCCTCACTCGTTAACCCTGAAGTACCACTACCTTCATCCCACCCCCCATCTTATCTCTCAGGGAGTAAGCCTGTGGCTGGTTGGTCCTGGAAAATGATGGAGGAATCGTGGCACATGGTCTGTGGTCAGTGCTGCTCTTAAAAGCAGAGGGTCGGTGGGATGGAGACAGCAAAATCAGGACGACGCTCCCTCCTCTGGGTTTTGTCTGGCAAAGAATTCCCTCTCTTGGCTCCCCTTCCTGAAGCAGATGTGCCTGGTTCTTCTGCCTCTGCCTCTGCCTCTGGTCCCCTTGGTCGTTCACCTTCCCCCTTCTTCTATGCTTGTGGCCTCTCATCACACTTTCCATTCTGGCCGGGACCTCCTGCCAGTGGATTCCCACGAAGCTTTCTTTGGGTTTCTCTCTTCCCCGAGCCGTTCTCCTCTGCACCCTTGGGGAGACCTGCCCCCTGCCCTGCCCTCCACCTCCTACTGAATTTATTCATCATCACCTGGGAGGATGCTTGATGGCCTTTCGACGCTGGCGTTGGCCTGCGTTCTACGGGCTTTGACCTTGGAGATGTCACTGTCCCCCCACCATGCTGACTCCCCAACCCACTCCAAACTAGGGTGACTGGTGTGTGTTCAGGTGTGCGGCTCAATGGTGATGCCGTGGAGGCAGTTTCTCGCCGAGGTTGGGAAGGAGAGGCAGCCATGGGAAGGGCGATGCATTTCAGCCCTCAGACCATTATGTAAATATGGGCTGCCTCTCCCGCAAATTCACCTCCTGATTTTATTCAGTTCACAGCACCTCTTCCAGCAGCTGCAGTCTCGCCTGTTCAGTGCTTGGGAAGCCATCATGTTGATGCTTGTTAGGTAGGGGACAGAGCCTGTCTTCATGTTTGGGAGTGGCATGGGAGAGAGGACAGAGCACGAGCCATCCATCTAGGACACTCCCTGAATGACCTTGGGCAGGTCGAGGAAGCATCTTTCCATTCTGGATAACTCAGGCACAACGGCATCCCACCCCAACCTCTCCCTTCCCAGGCGTGTCGGGGTGAGTGTGCACGTTTGCAGGAGCAGCCCACCGACTCCCAGGCGTGCATGAGTGGTACCACCACGCTCCCACTTTGCTCACGCCTCAGAGGTCGTTGCTTGCTGTTTCAGGGAGTTTGGGGTGCAGATTGCCTTGTTGGGGACCTGGGGTCGGGAACAGGAGAGAACGATGGAGAAGGAGATAAATATTCACACCATAGTGGGTCCTCCCTGGGGAAAGTGAAGGGGAAGGAATGTATAACCTTCAGAGGTCCACAGAAGAGGTGGGATGTGCGCTCGGTTCCGTACTCCTTGAAATAGTTCAGCAAAGTCATTTCCTTTCTGGAAAGGCAAAGGTTACTTTACTGATTGCACTGTGTGAGCCTCTGCGAAGATGGTGGTTGGGCAAACGGGCTGAGCGGGAGGGACGTTTGTGGGAGTGTTAGAAGGGTGAAAAGGAAGATGCTGCCTTAGGACGAGCCATCTGCCTCCTCTGTCCCCCTTAGGGCGGGCTTTCTTCTTTCCTCTCCAGCCCCCCGCAGGGAGGAAGATTTAGTCTTTTCCAGAAGTGATTAGACCTTGCCATCTGTGTGAGAAGTCCCACCCCGCGCCCCACCCCCCCACCCC